CAATTCCATCTGATAGCGAGCGATTCCATAATAAATCTTGCGTCCATACAGTCCAATGTTTTCCAATCTTCTCTGATTGATGAAATAGCCATGATTAAATGCACATGCAGTACATGTGTATTCTCATTAAACTAGTCGTCTAGAAAATAATACCGCGTGGGCACTTTCTTCTTTAGACATCCTGCGCATCTGCATATTCATAAAATTGTTATTTTTATTTCGTAATAGATACTTGAAAAAGATTTCAGTTAAGAATGATGCGGATAATTTAAACATTAATGCTATTGGAAGGCAAGTATAAATCGCGTTGATAAGGTATTTTCTAAATTCGAAAATGCATCAAATTTAGAATGATGTGGTACTCGGAGAAGAGGAGTGCCAAGGGTGAGCTCGCACTTTTCGCGTTGTTCGCAAATATTCCCGTTAACCGCAACGAAAAAATTATTCGTTATTCTATCGACATTAAAATCCAGCTGGCCGGATACTAAGACGAGTCGGGAATAGAGAGAGAGATGGCTCGAAACTTTACTGCCAGGAGATGATCACCGTTACCGTTCACCGCAAACACGGCAATAAGCTTCGTGAGTTCTTTTTTTCTCCGACGACGTCCGCCATCTCTTTTCTCTCCTTCCCTCTCTCACTCATCAGTCGACGAATGAAGAAAAGAAACTTGTAACGAGACTCGTAAATCGTTAACGCATCTAAAGAATCCCGGAAACTGCTGTTCCGTTCGCCTTTTTTCCTTCCGATACGACTTTCCCTATGATCGATATTCCGCACGATTTATCATCGACGACGGATGTCAGATCGGCCGCGATCAGCATCACTTTTCTTGCTTTCTAATCCCATCATAAGAAATTATCTTCGTTAGACATGTGTATGCCGAGGTAATTTTTAATAGAATCCAGCTGTGTACTTAGAAAGAAAATGAAGACAATTAAAAAAATGTGCGCATTTGATTATCGAACATTTGAACATTCACTCTGACTTTATCTGCTTCACTTAAACTACGATCATTAATCATAGATAAAGGGTTGTTCTCTCTGTTCTCGTATATAGATCCCGTTTCTACAATCGTGCGGAATGCGTGTATATGACATCATACGAATCCGTGACCCTCGTGGGTCGATGATCGGAAACCGCAAAACCCTCGAGGATCAACGACCAGTGCGTTCAAGTAAATTGATCGAGATCAAAGACGCGGATTCCCCAGATTGAATGGATTGTGGTCGGTCGCGCGTGAAGGGAAGAAACGTGAAACACGCCCGATTTCTTCCGTATCTCTTTCTTACCCTGGGCGGCTTTATGCCATTCCAGACACCGGGCATGCACAGTTAAGCCAGCAATTCGGCCGTGACGAAAATGAATTTTACTTGGGAAATGGCGATGCAGCGCGTCGATACTGCTATTGTAACGACACGCGAAATTTGCATTATCACGAAGCGCACAATGGTCGTATAGTACTACGTTTCGTCACGTTTGAAGACTATAGTCGATGAACGACGTGTAGGGATAAATTCCACACAATCGATACCATGAAACTGGAACGATTCTGCGACTTGGAGGCGGTAGAGAAAAGGTCTTATATTTGAACATATAATTTGTAACTTGTACGCAACATGTGTTCCGCTTCCAATCACAGCTATAGTTGCTCCAGTTGCAAAGCATCGAAGCGTAATTTTCATAATAATCTGAATTAATTGGAACAGTTTTAAAAGAACCAGGAAAAGAAGAAAGATAATTAATATTACGTTAAAACTCAAAAAATATCAAAATAAATCAAATCTATGCAGTGATTTAAAAAAATAAGTATGACAAGTCAATACACTTTTATATTTTAGAAATAAATTTTCTATATATCTATAATATTTCTATTTTTATTAACACGCTGATGCCTTTTTTTAAATTTTAAGCAAGTTTACTGACGCTTCGAAGGGAATATAGAACATCTTTTGACTGTTATATTCGTGATATTACGCAACTCGAACTTGTTTCAAAACTGGTTTTTTCATTCATAAAACTGGTCGAAGGGAATATTTTTGAAAAGCAACAAGTTTTGAAGAGAAACTAACGTGGCATTTTTGAATAACTTATCATCAATTCCGTTACATAAAAATTGATATATCTCGCCGTGCTATACTTTTAATAATAATCTGTTCATGGAGAGATTAACCATAAAGAAAGACTGATATGGTTGCAGGAAACTGAAAGGTGAATTGCCGGTGGTACTTTAAACGCGCCTGGTAACAATTTGTCAACTTCTGGTTCGACTGCTTGCTACCAGTTCTAAAGTTAGACGCCATAAGACTTGCGGCAATACGTATATCTCTCTCTGGCATTCCTGAGGTTAAACCATAAAAACCGCTACGAAAATACATTGAAACGATTTCTTAAATTTCTCGCGATTACTCAAACGTTCTCCGTGAAAATTTTATTAACTATTTAAAATTTTATAATTATTAAATTTTTCGTTTTTTTAAATATATATTAATAAAATAAATAATAATAATATCTAACAATTAAAATATAATATATAGGGATTTTTTAAATCCTTGAACGAACTCATTAAATGTGAACAAAGCCGAAGAGACCAGAAAAAATAAAATTCTTCTTCCTTTACATTTTTTTGGAGAAAGGAAATATTAAAAAGGTTTTTACCTTTCATTTACAATATAATTAGCCATGAACAATGAATCAAAGAAACAGAGTCACATGAGAGTCGAAAGGACGAGAACATTCGTTAGGGCGTGCCTTTCCGTGTTCTTTACAAGCTTACATCAACTTTCTCTACATTGTCGGCGAGCTGGACGTTCCTCGCATCCTTCGTGACTCATGCTATTATAATGCATAATACGCAAATAATAATAATAAAAATACTGCGCACAAGCTTAGGTGAGAGATAAGAAAATTAGAATAATTATACGATAACGGTATGAGAATAGCTTAATAATGTATATTATTTCGTAACTAGCAATAGCATACAAAACGCATTTCTCACATTCGTATGAGTATGCAAAATACATTTCTCGTACTCGGATATATTCATTACTATTTTCCTCAAGTCGATCGAAACTTGTCTCGATATAATTAACATAAAACGCGAACGGAATTCATAATTCAATAATTCACACATGTCCTGTTATTATTGCGTTTACACGGCACAATCAGAATTCGAATATCGAATGCGAGGAAGAAGTGTCGTAATTTATATCTGAGAATAATAAGAAATATGCAACAAGATTTTTCGATAATTCCTCGATCAAGCTTTTATTAAATTAAATACGTTCACACACACACGCAAACATTTTTATCTTTTATTTAAGTAAAAATAATATATACTAAGAATAATTCTTCCGTACTTCTTTCTTTCATGTCCTACTATTTTATCGTTGAAATTCGTTTCGTTAACTCTATCACACGTTGTAGTCTTGGGGCGAACGGGAATTAACATAATTCGTGAACGGAATATCGGAGTATCGGATTAATACGTGGGTTATGTGATGCACGGCGATCGCGATCGATCGTGACACGGGCGGGTCACTCGCGCAAAGGCAAACCTGACTGAAGAATGGTGTATGCGAGAGACGTTTGCCTTAGTTGTAACACTTTCGGGACTCGATCGTCAAACAATGATATCGACAACCGTAACGGTACGTCTTTCCGTATGGACGCGCTTGTTGTCGCGGAAACGCTGCCACGTGCATCCATTGTCCTCTCCTCTTTTCTCTTTCTCGTGGGCGATTGCATAATGGATCTTCCGGCGACACGACGTGGCAATTTGACGTTTGCGCACAGCTGTGTTCCATCGTCGTCGTCGTCGTTGTCGTGGAGCGGCGACAAATCCCATTACATAAAAAGAGACGCGATTAAGCGCGTTAAAATAATCTCTTTATCCCACGCTATTATTATGTAATTACTGAATATGCACATTCCGAGAATACTGATGTCAGTGGCCGCGGAATAAAATAGTTATTATCCCACGACCGAACGTAATCTGCCCGATTTCGTCGAAAGTTCTCACGGGTTCACACTTGGAGTTCACGCCCGTACGAAAAATTTATGTCCCCATCAAAGGAGACGCGCGCAAAGTGAAGTTCCATTCTTCTTCAAGTATTCTCAGAGAATAAACGATGTAAGGTACACCGGGATGCCAAGAAGGGAAAGCTCTCGCAAGACCTTGCAAGGCTTCATTCTGAAGCATATTCTCGCTCTCGCTAATGACTGTCATTTACCTGGTGTCATCTCCGTGTCCTACAGCGTCCACTTTATCGTACCATGTTGTACACAACGGTCTGTTCGATGTTCGGAAGATGGATTCTCGCCGTCATTAGCCAAGTGTCTCTGCTTCTCAGCTTCACCTTCGAGTCATTCTCGGTCCGTCTTCCTCTTTCTCCTTCGAGACTGCGTGGAATTCCTCCGCGAGATTTCTCCACCTCGCCGAGGTTCCTCGATTGCCACTATCTCCGCTTCCTCTCGCCTTCCTTCCTCGTGCCGGCGCGCGGTGTGCCAGGTGTGGTCATTAATTTTACAGCGCGATGGAAAAAGGTCGGCGGAATACACCGAACAAAGGTACCGAGTCGCTTGCTCGCTCGCTCATTCGCCCGTCGAAGCGAGGGGGGAAAATGAGGATCTTTGCGAGACAATTACTCGCGGAGGTAAAATAAGATCGCGACGATATCACAGCGACATGGACGGATATAGCTGCACCGATGAGAAAATATACAGACGAGAAAAAGAGAGAGAGAGAGAAGGAGATACTTGAATAAAATATTTCATATAAAATTCATGGAACGAAAAATATCCGAACATCTCTGAAAAATATGGCAAGTTGAAATAAAATTGAAGAAGAGATTTTAATGTAGCTTTGAAATTTCTTTCGGGCATACGTTTTGAATTTAATTAAAGGGTCTTGAAAGAGATAAAATTCTCGTTGGTCTTTTCTGCTCAGCTTCAGAGTATGGATGTTATTTATATACACGTCCTTTTTATGATACCGGCAGGTCGGGTGGCTCCTCCAGCGCATCAAATACTGGCACGGGATCATCGACCGGTGGAGGTCCTGGGAACCCGGCAGGAGGCGGCAGGATGGCCGTCATTGGCGTGACTAGGAACGTACGTTTGAGACGTCGCGGCAATGCCGGCTTTGGATTCTCGTTACGTGGTGGACGCGAATACGCCGCCGGATTTTATGTCAGTGATGTCCAACCAGGTGGCGAAGCTCATAGAAATGGATTGAGGGTATTTAATACTCTCTTTTATAATTGCTGTTATTAAAAACTACATATAAAAATAATTTAAATGTCTTTCAACATCTTTCGCTTCTATCAATTTTCTCAAGACGCATTAGCCAAGAATAGATTTAATGATATCATGCGACTGTAACGTTAATATTGAAAATGTATTAATTAGTTGATTTTTCATTTTTATTTTATCACTTTTAGGTAGGCGATCAGATTTTAAGGGTGAATGGTTACCCGGTGGAGGACGCTGTTCATCAGGAAGTCGCGCTCCTAGCGAAGAATCAGCAAGTCTTGGTTCTTAAAATTCGAAGTAACTATCTCATTTCTATCTTAATTATCGACGTCGAAGTATAATATTGCACTTGCGAACGTAAATCTATTCTACTAGAGATAGCTTGAAAAAAATAATTAATAATATAGTAATACGCGCGCGCGGCCTTCGCAAAATTATCTCTATCTCGTTGCTGATAACGGGAATTTATAGCTCTTGATTTATATTGCAGGCGTGGGGATGATACCCGTAAAGGAGTAAGTATTAAAACTTAATTAAAACCTTGCGCAAACGCATACGTGTCTCATTCGATCGGCATTCTCTCGTTACAAAAATCATTTATGATTCGTAAAGCAATCCGAACGATCCGGTTACCTGGCACATGGTGCAGCAACAGCAACAGCAGCTGCAATACAACGAAACTGGTTTAGGCAACGTGCCGAACGCAGAAGTCAGAATTCGGATTCTCGTCGGCGAAAAGGGTCGTCTGGGCTGCGGTGTTTGCAGGGGCATCGTACCTGGTCTCACCGTCCAGGTTAATAACATCCTAATTGGATGTAGTTATGTCACATCGAAGCAACTGGCATTCTTGAGACTTTTTATTATTGTAAAATTTCTCCTGCCTTGATCAAGATCAACGTTCGATCTTGCCATTTCAAATTTATATATTGTCGTATCATCATTTAATTAATATAAATTTTAAGAACGAGATTAAAATAAACTCGAATAAAATAAAAATAATATAAGATTACCTAGTTGAAACAAGATCGTATTCAAATTTTTATATTGTATTTGAATTTTGACGTTTCAAAGCCGAATTTGTACAATAAGCTGTTCGGGGAAGAATTCAATTTATCTAAAAATACAACAAAAAAACATAAACATTTAGGGCACGAGAGAAGGGGGACCCGCGCGAGCGGCGGGTTTAAAGGCCGGCGACGTGATAATCTGGTGCAACGGGCAACGACTCACCGATCTGCCATTCGAGAGAGCTATCGAGGTGATGCGCAGTTCGGCGATCCTCGATCTCGTGGTGCAACGACCCGCGGTCCCCAATCACCTTTACGACTGTCCCGAGCCGTTGTGGACGCGCGGCTCCAGCGGCTACGACTCCGAGACGTCTAGCGTTGTGGCGGCGAGCCCGCCGTCCCAGCATCAGAACAACGCGCCGTCCTCGCCGCAGCATCATCATCACGATGGCAGGATGCATCAGCGATATCCGCGCGACGATGCCTGCAATCGAAACGGCAGGTGAGCGGTAATTTGACGTTTCTCATGCAAAAAGAACAATCAAGTGAAATTAACAGTTTTCGAGTAATTAAGTCGAACAAGTCGTAAAACGATACCATGTCACATACATCAGCCATGTCACAATCAGCAGGATATGCAGATTTTTCAGAAACGTTACTCTCTAATTGCTTCATTCGTTTTATCATTTATTTCTCCTCGTCGCGGAAATCAACGTCTGACACTATCCACGATACTTTCGCTACCTAGATAGATATTTACGTATTTTGTTGCTCGTGACCGTTATCGGATGCCATCAATGAATTTACATCGGGAGAAAGTCGGTCCATTAATAGGACACTCGATAACGATCGCAGAGTCGGTCATGGCTTGAATTCCTTGCCGCCATATAAGCATTCGTCCAATTCCCCGAGGTACTTGCCACGTAAAAATACGCGTCTAGCAAATTCTGCTCTTTAGAAATCGGACTCATAACTTGCGTAATCACCAGCACGGAAGACACATATATAAATTCTACTTCATTTCCGGGTGCCGTTATAGGATATGCTGTCCTCTCGCCCTGTCGACCAGTAGCTGCAGTTCCTCCTCGGAGTGGACGCACGTGGATCAGGTAAAGGTGTTAAAATATTTTACTTCATATATAATTAGAACCAATAAAACCAGTTAGTTAATAGAAGCAATTCCACAAAAATCATCTATTACTAAACAGTTCATTTGAGAGAAAATGAGTATAAATTAAATTCTATTCCATGCATATCAGAGCTCGAAAGTTCGAACTTTATTTCATTATTAAAATATGAAATAAAAAGAGTCGTACGCAAGAGTCCTTTCATTGGAATCTAAATGGACCACTTTCTAGGCGCCGGAATGGTCGCGAAAACCAAATAACACGACCGTGATTCGTGTTAATCAGAGCTCGAACCAGAACCATCGGCCTATACCAGGCGGACAATATCACTTCAATTCGCGCGGCAATTACGAGGACGACATCGAAAATGAGCCGCTTTACGACCCTGTCGCGCCCAGGATCGACTACGAGGTGCACGATTTCGACGCGAATCCACGAGACGAAGCCAATCGGCGGCTGGCCTATCGGCGAGATAACGCGAGGCAACAGCAGGACGTGATTTATGATGGACCCGCTGACGACTTGCCCATGTACCACGGCTCCAAAGTAAGGAAATTTGCACATCCGTCAATTTCATAGTGCTTCTATTTTCGTTATCGAGCTATTTTTTATACTGGCTCGTTAAGCGCGACCGGTCGATTTAAATGAGAAACGGAAGTCTACTAATGCATCATGAATAATTTTACACCAGGAGAACGGCCAAGCGGTCGGCAATCGATTGACAGACCTGCAGAGGCAGAGCGAGGCCGAGAGGAAGACGATAACGACCGTGGAGGTGCATCAGTCAGTTTGTCCACCTGCACCTCCGCCGCCGCTTCCTTACAAATGGCCAGCAGGTTTGACGACTTTTCCCGCAGCATCGTTAGAATAATAACTGGCCGCGGTATTCGCTCGGCCGTCAGCTTGAAGAGCATTCTCTAACATCGCTATTGATCTTATGTTTCAGAGACGTAGACCTTGAAAGATATTTTTATGAGATTACTTTCCATAAATAAATATAAAAATTTCTACTTTCCAAGATTATTTTAAAATATATTTTACATTATTTTTTTACTAATAAATGCAGTCGCATGCATATGTGATTTAATATACATAATGAAAATTTAATTTTTTCTTTTAAAGTTAAATTCGCTTTTCTAATATTTTGTGTATGACAATCACCGTTACATTATCTACCGTTATAGAAACGAAACCGATGAACGCTATGGGTATACAAATGGGTAGTACCATGTCGATGGGCAGCACCGGCTCGACAGAAACTGAATCGAGTCTCGAATCGTCCTGCAGCAAAGATTCCGCATCGACATCATCATCGCTATCAACGTCGTCCTGCGAACCGGCGTCAACCGTTTCTTATGGATCGGCGACTGGCGGTGGATCCAGCAGCGTCGCCAGCAAAACAACAGAGACTTCAACGACCGCATACGCGACACCACGCAAGGATGTCGCTAGGACGTCGCCAATCGCCAGCACTGATCTGAGCACTGCCATTACACAAGAGTTGCAAAGGCGAGCGCAGCAGGTATATAGATGTTAAAGTATCAGTATTTTTTCTATGATAAGATCGCGAAAAATAAATGAATAAAATTCGTGAAATTATAAATTAAAAAATGCAAAATTTACATGGCTCAAATTGTAATTCTAATAGAAGAAAAAAATTGATGATCAAGAAATCGAAAAGTCGTTTTAAAAAATTTAAAGCCAGGCTTGATCGAAGATCGAGTTCTTATAATTTATTCCTATCATAATGTATGTGTATATGTGTTATCGCGTGTATCAACGACAGTCCATATTTTTCCTTCTTGTTCATAATTTTTTAATCTTTATTCTTGTTTTGTACTTGCGCTCGATTTCGATTTATCTATATGATATCTTTTATGTTACTTCTATTCATGTTTATCGTAATAAAAAATGAACATTATCAATAAAACGCTTTGCTAACATGTAATATGCCATAAAAGATTTAATCTTTTGCTGCCAATCGACACTTATCTTATTGTTAGATTATCTTCTATTTTTATTTATTTTTCTCAAAATTATATTTCTTGAAAAATTTTTACGATAGATATTTTTTTTTAAAATGTGCAGGATTCAAATTACGTCCTATAAAGTATCACATTATATTTATTACTTTCAATATATCGCGTGATTGATTATTCTCATTTCGCTTATTCTTGGTCATTCATCATCGTCATGCGTGACGTATTATTTTTTCTCGTAGAGAATGAATAACGCCGCTAAAGCGGAAGCGCCAAAGGAAAAAACTCCGGACATCCGCAAACCTCAGAATCTTGAAGCTCTAAGGTCACAGGAGCAAAAAGTGACACATGATAAGGTCAGTTGTTTGCACATTTATAATAAAAAATTAACTATTGAATCATAAACAACATTTATAATAAATGTTGTTTATGATTCAATAGTTAATTTTTGTTAATGGATTTATACTCTATATTTTATAAATATATTTTATAAATATATATTTTAAAAATAATTCACAATTCTAATTGAAATTTCATATAATAAAAGCACAAGGACTTAAGTATTCTTTACAATTATAAAAATACGAGACAAATTTGTATGCAAATTTATTCGATGGATAATAAGTATTTCGTCATATTTATTCTGGCTATGCTTTTCATATTTATTCTGGCTATGCTTGTCAGATAATCAGATAAAAAATGCTCTTATAATAAAACTGACTCGTTTGCAGTTGATGGAGGAATTTAAACGTGCACACCAAAAGATGTTCAACTCTGCTCAACAAAAGGCACAGTCAACGGATCAAGTTCTCGAGAAGGTAAGAAAAGCTAATTAGCAAATAGACACTGTGTTCATTATTATTCATTATTATTAAAATTATATAAATTATATTTTGAAATATATAAAGGAGAAAAAAGAAAGAGAAAAAGAGAGATTTAAATTTCTTCAATATTTTAAGATATATTGCAAACAAGATTTAGAAAATTTTATTATATTTTATAGATATAAAATTTACAAATTTACTTTCCGATATTGTCTTGCGAAATTCGAAATATATGATGTTTTAACTTTCATGCGATAACAATAGTCCACCTGACGCCAGTCTGATATACTGTTCAGTGATAAGCATATCTTTGAAACCGATTAGTAACGTAACATGTTGCATATGTAAAGATGATCAAGCCTTAACACTACACTCATCGATAAACTTGTTCATTTATCGTTACGTAACAAATTTTAATTAATAAAAATTCCGAAATAATATAGACTTTGAATTTACTAAAATCAAGGTAATATAAGAATGTTGATAAACAATAATATAATTCACATAAAATTGTATGTAACCTCGATCATTACAATGATTTTTATGAAAGATCATCGTAATTAAAAATACGGAATTAATGATTGTGTTAAATAATATAGCAAAGAAGAATTGATTTCATTGAATAAAACGCCGAAAATAAATTGCAATCAAATTTTTGATTAAAGCGTTTGTTTTGCAAGAATTTTTCGAAGCGGAAAGAATGAGCGATTCTAATAGCGCATTTTTTAATTACACAACCGCAAGGATATGCCGGTGCAAACAGATAAGAACACGAAATTATGAAGATCCCGGAGTCATTGTCAGTGTGGCGTGTAGATTACATAGTAGTGTGTGTGCGTAATGCTGACGCACTGACATATTTACCTGTTGTATACCTGTATAAGAGTACATTGGTCGTGACGTTTAGTATTGTTGAAACGAGAGATAACGAGCAGGTTGCACTTTTAAAGTCACGCGTATATACGACATTTTGTTTCAGTTCTTATATTACCGCGCGGCAGAGAGAATGTGCACGAGAGTGAATTAAGGACTACGTTTAATTGCGGAAGTGACATATTAGCAAATTATCTATCAATTATTCATGTGTATGTGTGTGTGGATCGCATTATTCTTATATCGCCTTGAATGTATCCATGAGAAAGTTTTATTAATGATAATAATAATAATATCAATAATGCTGATGATAATAACATGAAGAAACCAGCTACGAATTAATAATTATCCAGAAACAAAATTAAAAGATTCACATTTAAATTTAAATTAGCCTTTAAATTATCAGAAACAAATTGTCATGTACTTATAAATTGAATTCTATGTTTTATGCAGAACTGATAATCCTAACGAGAGGATACATTTAAAGAAAATAAATATTGGAAATAAAAAAGTGTAGATAAAATATATTTATCTAGATAATAAAATACTTATCTAGAGAAAATATATATTTTTTTAATGATCTCGTTATCACGCTGAGGTAAATCATTGGCTCCTCATCTCTTCGGCGATCAACAGATGACTCGCTATTAAGAGCCAAGGACTGATTAGCGGTTTGTTGCCACTTCTTATCGTTCTATAATCACTGTTATCGAAGTGCTTGCGGATTTATTCGCTATAACCGGTAGCCGCGATTGCGATTTCATCGTACGCAAATATATAGGTATATTCGATACCGTGAATGCAACGCGATACGCAACGCAACACGACGCGGGTCTCTTGTGCCACATTTTTCTTCTTCTTTTCCTTCGCTTCGACAGTTTCCTACGAATTGCGACGGACGTGCAAAATAATAGGGGCTTACATAAGAGCGACTCGACGTAAGACGACGTAACTCTCGCACGTTACTCTCGCGGCGTGTTTTTTCAGTCGCTCGTCGTGTCGCGCGATCGGCGGTCTGCAAAATACCGCAAAACTCGAGGTCGCCGTGCAATCGTAATTAGAAGAAAATAAGGCTCGCATACGCAAAACACCGTAACGAAAAACGAAGGATCATCGAGATGCAAACGTATCATGAAAAAGACTTCTTTATTGGAGCTTGACAGATTTCTCTATTTTAGGATTATTAAAAGAAGCGAAAAAAATTTGTTAAACAGTCTAGAAACCCAACTTTCAATTAAAACTGCTACAATTAAAATTATTTGAATATTACTAGGAATAATAGGAAATTCAATAAAGGATAGTATGGTGATCATATGTTAGAAAAAGCATCATAAAAAGAAGTGGACAATTAACTCACGGAGAAAAAGTGGAAAGTGGAATACTTGATAAATTAAATTATTTAGCTAACACACATACACACTGCATATAATTAAAAATACATTGGGAAATTTGGAAGTATGGATAAGAAAAGCTCGAAGATGAATAATGTAACCGACACAATGAAAAAGAAACAAGCGTTGGTCACAATCATGCCTTATAACGTTAGTAATTATATATCAAATCACATTAATAATCGATTTGACTTAAAACTTTGATACGTACATCCAAAATCAACTTATCGATGCGTCAAAATATTTAATAATTTCATATCGACACATTAAGAACATATTAAAAATTTTATTCTCTAATATCAATTTTATCTTAATTTATAATTTTATCGTGTTAGTAAAAAGTTCTTTCGTTTTCATTTCTAATCTTATTTCTTCAAATATTAATTTTAAAATATAATTCTGGCCTGTGCTTGACTCATTAACTTATTTGAATAATATATTAACTCAAACTCGCGTTTTATTATTATTATATTAATTATATTGTTATATTAATTTTTAGGAACAAGAAAAAAGAGTGCTCAATGATACCTCGACAACGGCAACGGCAACAACGACGGCGACGATGAGTCCTCCAATGCCTCCTCCGGCGCCTCCTCCACTTCCGCTCTCTTCGAAAAATCGAGGCAATGACGACTCGGTGGAGATGCAGAGCATCGAGTCGTTCAAACTGAAAGAGGCACCCAACACAGTACCGAAGCCGCCGCCGACATACTTTCCGGTGACGAATCCGGTCTCGAACGGAAGTCCACAACATGTTGGTACCGGAAGCAAGGTCCCCAAGGATGCCGCGACGAGTCCCGTTGCAGAGCTCGCCAAGACGTCGTTCTCATCGGTCTCGCCGACCAATGGCCCACAGATCTCGAAACCTCTCGTTGGAAGCAAGGTGGCCGTCAGGATAGGGGCGTACGAGGGTGAGACGAAGCAGCCATCCAGATTGGAATTCTTGCCGCAACAGTCGAGTCGCGACAGAAACGGCGTCGTCGACGAGGCGTCCAACAGCCCTGTCGTGTCCAGATTGCAAAACGAACTCGTAGCGACCCTGCAAAGATCAAACCTCAGAAGAAAGACTGAAGGAGTAGTAAGTGATCATTTCAAGAAAGATCAGTCAGAAAGAACTCTAAAATTACATTTATCATAAATTTCTATCAATTTTTAACTTTGACTTTTTATTGTTTACGTTTCTAGAAAACTGTTCTGTGTACTTGTTATTTAAGCGTACCTCTTAGAAAAATAGACACTATGAATGTAAATTTATTTATTTCAGGAAAATCAGTCGCCCGTGAAGACTATTTCCGAAAACGCGGCGGCACCCAGTAACGATACAACGAATTCTGAGCCGAGCAAGCTTCTTCAGAGCAATGTCGAGAAGCTCGCATCCGCTCTCAGCAACAAAGTCACCATCAGAGTGAATCCGGAGAACAATAGTCGATAAGAATATAATTGAGTCGAGAGAATGTCGGAACAATCTTTGTATGTATCTTCGTAAATTTTGTACATTTTTGCACGTTTCGATGCTAACCATTTATTATAAGTAAAACGGCGCTCCCTCTCTATTAGAGGTTCTTTTACACATGTACGTGTTTTTTATATCTTATTTATTATCGTATTATACACCGAGTAAATAAAGTAAAGGAGCTAATTCTTATTAATCGACGAGGTTTTACGACCAGTATTTACCACGTAGTCTCTATCTTGGAATGTAATCTACTACAATCGCGACTCTATGTACGAATATTAACAGAAAATTCGACGAGAGGTTGAATTTTTAAATAAAAACGACGATATACTTAATCCTGAAGTTTATCGATTTCCTAAATAAACATGTTAAAAATACAAAAATTATTAGATAACATTTTTCAGAAATTAATCGAAATATTATAGAAATATTAATTCAGTAATTATACTAATTCAGCTTTAATTTTTACAATCGTAAGCATAACTGTCACCCTTTATAGAATGAAATTTTGCAAGAAGTTGTCTACGAATAATAGTGCGACTTTCTCTGACATTTCGGTCGAGAAAGCGTTAATCCAGCGCGGTTAAGCTCTGTCAAGTAGACAATCTTTGAACGCTTTGAAAATCATTGGGTCGTGAAAAAACTTATAGATGATCCGTGCAGCGCGATATTATTTTTCTCCTCGCCGCGCGAGAGAAGTCATCCATGAACGTGTCACGTGAAACGAGGTTGCCCGGTCGTCCGCAAAATAACAGAATACGTAAGCTATTGTTGTCAGAGTATTGCGAATTTTCCGAGACGATCCTGATAGAATCGCCATTCGCGGAAACCACGAGAAATGGACACGGGTTACGTCAGGTCACTCTGGGTCTCACGCCGACCAGATTGATCGTCGCCGCCGATATTCTGCAGACTAATCCTGGTTTTATTTGTCCATCTGATATCGACATCAGTATTGAGAGTTTTGAACTCGTATCCATATATCCTTTAGAGTATGTTACGCTCAGTGTGTTCAGGAGAAGACGTCGTAGGACACTAAAGGCAAGGTATACTCTTCGTTAGAAATGAAATAAGAAATATAAAAAAATTCTCATTTGTTCGAGAAAGAATTCAAAAATTAATTTAATCCAATAATTAATTAGATGATTATATTTATATAATAAACTAATTTTTCTAATTATTTAAATATTTTTAATTTTTAATTATTTAAATATAAAATTTATTTATAAATATAAAAACATATGATAGAATCTCTCTCATCTTTTTTTAAGAGAATGAATTTGCATTTGAAATATATCTTAGATTCATTATCTTTAGATTCATTGACGGTCGAGCTAATTATTATGAGCTCGGTGGCGTGCGGCGTAGAATTTTTTGGAGGATGTGGTGCGAACAGGTACGGAGATTATTGGCGCGTAAGATGGATGGTAGCTCATTATCCGAAACGACGGCAGCAAGCTCGTCGAGCACTAGCACACTGTATTTACTATCGTCTGAGATCGAAGTCAAGAATAATCGCGACGCAAAGAAACCGGTATTCAGGTGCCAATTGATATAAACTATTTTTGATCTCATCATATGCCTCGACATTTAAGAAGATTAAATACTTACTGCTTTAATCGAAACAGTATTTAATCATGTTTATTAAATTGCGTGTTATCAATATCATCAAGACTGTATAATTTTGCATAAGAAATAAGTTTTTATTTAAAAAAACGCATAGAATATGGACTCGTTATGGAGGCGCTGGCGATTTCATTGCTCCGACATGGACAGACAAGGACTTGTATCTCGGATCATCTTTTAACGAGTTGATAAATGGTCATTACACGCCTGTTCCGGTGAGATTCGCCGGAGCCAGCTTGCAGGATGTTATGTACGAGCTAGGGGATCGTACGCCATATTACGTTACCTGCAAGAAATCGTGTCAAAGTTGGCCATGTCAGATAAAGTTTGGCGGTCAAGCAAAATCGCAACGTTCCGGAGGACTATGCAATGTCATTTTCGCAAGAAATCGCAGCGCTCATCGTCACGATTGCACCGCAAGTTGCAAAAGTACGTCTTGCAACATCTGTCAATTAGACGACAGTGTCGGCATTAATATTCCCAGAAAGCACAGCCGATGTCACGGTTAGAGCAGACGGATTTGCAAAACTCGTAAATCTTTTTATCCATTTAAATATATTTAAAAAAAGAAATCTCAAAATTTCTTATCATGAAATAATGTGAAAATTTCAAAGAAAGTAAAATAAAAAAATAAATTAATAAATAAATTAATATGTTTTATATGTAATATTATTAATATGTAAAATAAATTAATATGTTTTTATATTAAACAAATTATTAAATTCATGTATGCGTATTCCAATGCAAATATTTTAAAATAATATAAACATTAACGATTAAAAACATTTAGATCAAAGTATACTCTCCGAGGAAGAGTTTATAGAACACGTAGAAAAAAAATACGAAAAACAGCAACAGCATCGAAAAGGATCTTTAACTTCGAAAGTATCGCGTTTCGGCCTTGGTATACCGGAGAAATGCAATTCCGAATTGATTCTGGGTCCTTACCGCGATGATTCCAGTTACGTCGACGTGTCTAAGCTCCCGCATCGCTTCGTCGATCCTCGCAAATTAATCGAAAGCGGCGTGACGATCTGGGAGGATCACAGATCCTTTAAAAGTCAGAAGCATCCGCGAAGATACGCCTTTTCTTCAGCAGCGCATTTCTTTCATGCGCTGGGACCGTGGTCGGTTCAACCTGGCGAACGTGAATCCGTGCAAACTCTCAGATCGCCGAGCGCGGTCAACATCCGCAAACAACCGTCGGACCCGGAACTGAAACTTCCGGTCTCGCGTCGTCAGTTGACAACTAGCGTTTCTTGCGCCGCCTTAACTTCCGGCGGTTCCAGTACTGTCACTAGAGGACGAGTGATACTCTTCTGGACACCGGAATATTGGTATAGACCTCAAGCAGCTACGGCTGCTTACAGGTGATATGGAAAAAACATTTATCATCTTGTAAACACTGTGATTCATAGGATTTGTTCGTGAAAAATTTCTGTTTAATGCATATAAACTTTAGTCAAAGTTTGAAGCCCTAATTATTATTCACCTAATTATTATTCACCCTATTATTCACTTTAATTTTTTTTGCATATTTTATTAAATAATTGACAAATATATAATTTTTTAAAATTATATATTGAATAATTCAAATAAAAAAAACTTGAACTTATTAAATAATTTTTTATATAACAGAGAGCTAAGACATCACCTGGCATCTCTTCGAGATTTTCGTTGTGGAAAAGAGAAGCAGGCGAAAAGGAAGCTCTTTTGCAGACGAAAAAATCAAGTATCAGGCAATTCTGAGAGTGGCAATTCCGGAACCACAATTACGGGGAAGCAGTCCAGCAGTCTATTGGAACGCGTGCTTTTCATCAATGGTGCGCGTAAACAGAACAAAAAGCTGATTGAAACTGGAGAAGTCGATAAAGGCACGGCGCAATTGCGAAGATTGTTAAAGATGAATTTTCGTATCACCGTATGGGATTTGAACAGTACAATTTTAGCCACGCAATTGACAATGATCGATCGCGATCTCTTCGTTCGCATTCCCGCAACCGAGATCGAGATACTGATCCATCAAAGATCCTCGCGAAACGCGCCGAATGTAGGTGCATGGATCGCCTTCAGCCACCGGATTGCCTGTTTGACCGTCAGTGAAATCCTGGCGATCAAGCAGCTCGACATGAGAACCAGAATCATGGCGAGATTCATCAATGCAGCTGACAAGTGTTTCGCGCTCGGCAATTTTCAGTCCTGCCGATCTATCCTGGCGGGTCTGCAGGCTCCGCCAATTTACAGGCTTCGGAGAAGTTGGTCTTACTTAAGAACTCATCACGCCAACAGGTATCTATATTAATTATCAAAATAATTAGTTTTCTTTGTGTAGGTTTGCAATTATATTGCTTTCGTAGATCTTTTTCGTGAATAGATTTCTCCTTGAGTCATATAAATATTATATTTTTCCAGACACACTTTCTATTTTACATAAATAATTCTCCTTTATAAAAATGAAACATAATTTAACATTTTTAGATACGAAACGATGGAGAAGCTCTCCAAGATTTATAGGAATCCGCGCTGTTCAAAGTATCAAAGAGTTTGGATTGCAGCAGAACGCAGTCCGCCTTGCATGCCATATGTCGGCCACTTTCTGATCAAAGTTCTGGGATTAAATGGTTTGAGGGAAATTCAAGCAAATTTTGTACCATCTTCTACAAAAAAACAATCAAGCACTCAAATCGGGACTTTAGAATCTATTCATAATAATTTCAATAATATTAGCTCAGGAGATGGACAGAAGATAATACGATCCGAGCGAGATGGATTTTCGCGTTTAGCCAGACGCATTTTCGCGGCAACGTTAGCCAGGATAAAGTTCACGACACACCGAAATATTGTTAACGAAATGACGAATGATATCTGGACATGTAGACAACGATATCTGGCGCGCAAGTTTTTTTATCGTTGGCGCACAATCACGTTGGAATCAAAAATATTCTCGAAGGACGAAAAAAAATCCAAGAACGTGGATATGAAGAGGAAACACGTCCTCAACATGGCAATCTGGTTAACGGACTGTCAAAGATTCGCGCAGAATTACAATTTTCCATTAAACTCATTCGCATGCGAATTTCTTTTGAAGGCACGTTATAGAGAGGATCGCGAAAACTTTTTCATCAGTCTCAAGTTGGAACCACCGAAAACAACTTGAACGGTACATATTGAAAGATTTGACTTTAATAATGATTGAAATATGTAACTTTGCCATGTATCAGATACAGTTACAGCAATTATTTTATTATTTCGAACGTGATAAAGTAAGAGAAATACACTAGCCAACAGTTAATTGTTATTAATCTAGTTACAAATATTTTTTTTAAATATAACGACTTTTGGATCATTCAGTATTATATACGATTTATTCAGAAGCACCTTTTACCCCAAGAAATGTTGTATCTCTACACACTCTTTGTATGATTATTATTGCTATAACACTTTAATAAAAATATGCCTTTGTATATTGTTTCTTATTAATATATGTAAATTGATAAGTAATTATTTTTTTATTCATTTTTGTTATATTTTATCACAACTTGTCGTTAAAGAGAAGATGGATTAAGATGATCTTTTTATCATCGTTTTATTCCGAACATAGTGTATACAATTGTTACTTTACACATGTTATATGTATATATATATCTCTATTAAATTCCTCAGTCATAAACTTAAAATAGAGTGTACCATGATGGGCGGAAGAGTGATTCTTTAAACTGAAAGATAGATATTGGACTGAAAGATAGATATTCGATCTTGACTAGATAACAATGCAGTTTTTCGTGAGTATGTATAGTAATGAGATATACGTATATATGTTATTGATTAAAAAAAAAAGAGAAAAAGTAACGAAATATGTACATTCATGTAGAACAAGGGCAACAGTCTTTTTCTGGCACAAAATCGAACATAATCCTTCATCGAGCATATCGCGATCGCAAAAGCTTTTTCTTCAACTTTGGAAATGTATAAATTCTTCTTTTTTAAATGTATACATATATGCATATATGTATGTATATATACATATACACACACACACACATACATATGCACATATATAATATATATAATAGAGGTAATAACTTGCAATTCCAGAGAGAGCTTCTGGATAATTATCTCGAAAAAAATCTCTTTACACATATATATATAGAACAAATATATACATATATGTATATCAACATTCAAAGATCGCTGATTACAACTTGCGCAATTTCGTACGATTTTTACTTCTCGACAGAAATGTGTCTTGCTCTCACATTGTACGAGAATAGACGTAAAAGCCGTTTTACCGGTGCATAATAGGATTTTGCACGACTTTGACACTAATATGAAATGCATTCCCAAATGCATCGCGACGAAACGTAGCCGCATCGTCGAAATCCGCACGAGTACGTTGCTATTCAATACTTTTTAAGAACAAGAGGTCTCTACGATATTAGAATAAAATTTCACGGAGTATCAAAATAATTATTCATGCTAATATATATGTCGAAGTTCTCTTCTACAAATTGATCGCAGTAATTCAGAGAGTAATTCTTTCGTTTGAACATTAACATTATCAACCCTTAATTAATCGCACATCAATCCTTAATTAATCGCATTTTTTACGTCTAACGTGTAAATTTAGAAATATATAAATTTCCTTTTTTTTCCATCAATAAAAATCTAAGTTAGATTGTTTATTGCTCGAAATTAAAAGATCACATCAAAATAAAAATAAAATTATCAAAATTTAACTTAACAAAACGCGATTGATTAAGGATTAATTCTTTCTTTTGAGTTTTCATGGCATTTTCTTAAGCCTATCATTGATCCATATCGAATATCGATCAATCCTCTGGAGCATCGCTCGTAAAACGAGCAGAAACGATCTCTCTCAGGCCGCTTGAAAGAGCAGCCAGCATCTTCTTGCCGCATGACGGCCACTCCGTTTAAATCACATGCCGCCGGGCTTCGGAAGATTTGTGTCGTAGGCTCTGATCACGTCCGTCTGGGTTACCGAACCACCCTCCTCTTGAGAGAACGCGAAACCATCTGCATCGCGCAGCATGCGCAATAACAAAGGTCGCAATTCGTTAATTTCTGCCGTAAGAATGTCCATTAATTGAGCATGCAAGATGCAAGGAAAATTATGAAGAGTCGTATCTAGCGATGGGCATTTAATTTTTTTCTTCTTCTGGATCTTCAAGTAATTCAAACGAATCATAAAGATTTCGAAGATTGTTAAAAATGTTTATATATTTGAATAAAATACTCGAAATTAAATTAGTTAAACTCTAAATTTTTTTTCAAATCTATCAGTCCATCGCTAAACGCGTTTATGACAGTTAGAAATTGAAAATTTGAAATTATATTAATATATTTATCGATTTTTAATCAAGCGCTAATATTTATATAGCAAAGATGAAAGATTTTCTAATTTCAAATCATTCTACTAATTAAGATTGTAGCAATATATATATAAAAAGTGTTCTAGAAGTGCCGCATTTCCTTTCGTTAATATTGAACAATCTATAAATTTTAAAGAACAAAATAAGAAGAGAAGTGCGCGACTTCCAGAACGCCTGGCATAATTAATATGCATCTCGCGGTTGCTAAAAAAAAAATATAATTTTCAACTATAAGTAACACGGTGCAAGTGCGAAAATGTGCATTTAGTTGTTAATTCGTCGAAAACGAATTCTCTTTCGGAAAGTAGTCAATACTTTAGGACGACGATAAAATAAAGCTTATACGGACGGACGAACGGACGAGAAACAGAAAGCCGTGAGAAATTAAGCGCGTGCTCAGGTGTGGAATAAAGTACGAAGAGACATTAGATAAAATTTACCTAGTAAGAAAGAAGTTCGCGAAGTATATAGAGTTATGAGGGATAATATGACCGAAGGATATTAAGAGAAAACCAGGTATCGTAAAGAGAAATTTTCCTGGCGAGTTATGTGAGTGTCTGTGGAAAAGACAACTTACGTGATAGCTCCACCTCGACATTGACTCTGGAGGCGGCATTCGAGCGCCTGGTGAAAACATTTTTAACGTTTTTCAGCAGCCTCGCCGTTTCCGTCAATCTGCAAAGCCGGGCATTCAGCAATAATTTATGGATTCTCGGCTTTGGCCAGAGAAAACACCCTCTCATGTCCAAATTACATGGACACAAACGACGAACTATAAATCTTTTCAATTTCTTTTTTTCTTTATCTTTTAATAATTTTACCCTCGGAATGCTCGATCAATAATAGCTCCCAATTTCAACGCGAGTTTCATATAATTTCTTTCACGCCGACGTCGATTACATATGTGATAATAAGTGCGGTGCATTTATGGTGCAGAAATTAAATAAGAAAAAAAAAGAAAAAAGAAATGTGAAAATTAAACGTGCCTATGAAGTGTCTATGAAGTTACTCTCGAAGATTGATCCTCTTCATCTGAAGGGATTAATGAAATTTTAATTAAAACATGCACATTACTGAGAAGCTTAATACGAATGCAATTTAAGCGAATATATATATATGTGTGTGTATGCGAATAAAATAGTTATATGCACACTTATTCCGTTTAGGGAATCGTCTTGAGCTGCATCGAGACTTCGTGAGGAATTTGCGTGACTCGCATTTTAGATCGCTGTGCTGTGCTCGGCTTTTACAGCGGAACATCGGACGGTCATGCGTTCCTGTTAATCGGCCATGTGTTTTCGCTTGTCGATAGAGAGTGAGCGGAGAAAAATATAAGTGGAAGATGCGCACTGTGTATACATTATGTACTACTACTGGGAGGGGTACTTACACCTCGCGAGATCGGCGATGGCATGCACAGACCTGCACGGGGTACCACGGAAGAGAGCATATCAAAAAGAAACCGCATTAACAAACGGCAATTTTACGGTACACCGTGAACATTAGTATAATACACAGCGATACACACTACTAATTCTACAAGCGCCGTTACTTGAAGAGAGTGCTCTACGGGCTTTACTTTATAATGCCCCATGATTCTCTCAGTTGCGTCTTTATCACGAATGGAGGTCTGAACGTAACAAATTTAATCTAACTCGAAATATTTTTTTGTGCACGTATGTATACAGAGGAAAAAAATACGGGAGGGATTAGTTTATTATTTAAAATTATGCGCTCTGAAACATGTATTATAAGCGAATAAGGTGGTGAAAATTAATTCTTCTTAAGTGATAAATGTAATGTATGTAAAGAAAATTTTTAATTAAAAATAATAAAGGTATCCCGTTAATAACAATGATAATATAATAATGGGTGTTTTTCAATAAGCGACACAGAGGACACAGTATAACACAGTGAATCATTTCATCCTTGTTTACATTTGGCAACCAACAAGGATGAAGTGATACACTGTGTCCTCTGTGTCGCTTGCTGAAAAACGCCCAATGATAATATAATAACAAAAAAAAAGAAAAATTATATCAGATATACACAATGGAACCTGTCATATGTCATCATATTATAGTACATTATTTTTCATTTACATTTATTTTTCTTTCCAAAGTAATGGAAACTATTGACTAGAAACGAAAGAGAAGCTACTTTTCTCGTTTACAATTTCTTATTTACGATTTTTTCAAAGTAATATAAACAATTGACTAGAAACGAAAGAGAAGCCATATGAAAGGTTCTACTGTAAATAATAGACATAGCAACACATATTTCGTAAGCTCCAAAACATGAATATTGTATATAAATTAAGCAATATATAATTATAATATATTAATATGTATAATTATATTAATATATAATTATATTAATATATAATTATTAATTAATTACATCGCTCTGCATTCATTAAATATTATAAATATTAAAAAAATACAAGAAATATATAATTATATACATAGTTTTTAAATTAAATAAATAAATAATAATATTTCTTTTCAAGCCAAGAATATAAATATTTCCGAGTCTATGCAGAAATACGTGAATGAATGATTTACAAGACATACACATCTATATGCGTCAATAGATATCGTTCAATATTATATTATACAAGACTTATCGCGCACTAATAAATCATGTACTCAAGAGGAATGTATGTGAGGAAGACGTAGTAATCGTATAAATTGAAACGCTTACTAGCTTGGCACTTTAGGAATATACAGGATGGACGGACTGTTCAGGAATATGGAATTTGAATTGTTTCGGATGATGCATGCTCGGAATGATGCGTAAACCACGAGCCACGTGCTACAAACGGAAACACTCTCAGCCTATTGCGTCTTCGTCGCGGATAGATAAAGGTCCAATATCGACTTAACCATCGCTTCGTTGACCTCGATCTCCTGTTTATAATTCATATTTATCGACTCAATTTCACGAGGCAATAATATTAATAAGCGATATAAAACGTTTTGCCTTTTAGATTGCACTCCGATAAACAATTAATATGTAAACGAGCACACAAACAACGATGTTATTTTAGGAAAATTGTTAATTATATATATGATCGTTAATTATATACATGTTGATCATATATAACCAGATCATATATAACCAGATTAGATTAATGATTGATACATACATGCACCTAAATGCACCAAAAAATAAAATTTCGTCCATGATTAATCAGACCACCCATGTATTGTAAATTTGTTCTATAAATACATAGTACATAATATGACCTAGAAAGCCATGCATAGTAAGTTTTAATCTCAATCAACACAATAAAACATATATAGTTACTAGAATGGTTCATGCTTTTTTAATATTAAACTTTGCGATAAACCTTTTAAATATAATCAAATAAATTAAAATGATAAATGGAGAGTCTTTTTGTTTTTCAAATAGCCCAAATTGTCGGTTTTAATAATAACATAACGCAACTTTCATCTTAGACTTTTTGATTTAAGTTGTTAAAAAACATCTTTTCTATTATCTAAGATGCAATTTAATATCCCCTATATGTTAGTTTTAATAAAAACAAAATGGAATCACTTACGAGCTTCTGTAATCCTGGTTGCTGAATACCTCACCAGGATCGGATTTCCTAATTTCATTTTCTCGGGCTGCTTCTGTCACCGATTTCCATACTGTATTCATTACTCTGATAATAAAAACAATTACATATTGATATATAAAATATGCATCCTGTCTATATTTAAGCATAGCATTAACTAATTAACTCACGCATTTACTGTAACATCTAACAGCAATACTGCCGTTGGTATTAATATAAGTCCCAGCCAAAAAACAGGCGACGAAAATAACATCTTGTCATTGCCTAACATCACAGCGCCGACATTTAAGACGGGCCAAAAATTACTACAACAATAAATATATATTAAGAATATATATTATGTATGAATATATATTATGTAATCTATATATTAAGAATATATATTATGTAATCTATTAACGTATGTCTCGAAAAATTCTATAATAATATGTTATAGGAAAATAGATATATTTTTTCTTCTCTTACCTATATATAAAAATAAATAAGAACCAGAGTATAATAGATCCCCAGGTTGCTAAATGAGTGACCCATGTCCATGAGTTTATTATTAGACCTGCCTTCGCGCATACTGTTACTACAACATACTAATATAATAACATAAGAGTCACACATACATAAGAGTCTCTCTCGTGGTTTATATAATGTAAAAAATATTGTATGATATTTACAGTATAAACAAAGTTTCCTAATAAAAGATAACCGCCGTCTCTACCGTTTCCCCAAGCTACATCCTGTTTGAGAGCCATAAGCGGCAACCAATAAAGTAACGCCGAGTGAAATAGTGCATTCATAATCCATATCCAAAATATCTGTATAGATAAAAAATATATAGATATGTAAAGAAATTGATATTGAAAATCTCGATTCTAATTATGTATCACAATTTGTATAGAACTTGCATAGAACTTGTACTTACTCTAATACTGAGAAACGAGTCGCCGTTATTCTTCGTCGCGTATAATGCTGGATGTGCTAAGCGAGTTTCTGCGGAACATACTTTGTCAAAGAGACCCATAGCTAATGGAGGCGCAGCGGTGAAAACCTAGGAGAAGTATCAAATCATTGAAAATTAATTTTATTCTTTAGCAAAAATATCATACGATTTATGAAACTTACAACGTTATAAAGTCCAATGGACCATCTTTCGAAAAGAATTTGTCCGGACCAACCGGAATAAATGGCAAACCATAATTCAATAACATATAGACAAATGTTCTTGTAAAATGAGTATAAGATTAATTTACACATTCTACTATAATTCCAAGAACCGTGAACGAATAATAGACGTTTCAAAAAACGAAACTGTGCGATGGAATAATCAGAGGCACAAGCTGCTTGAAGGCCTTCGACACCCGAGATACCTACAAGAATCCAAATATCGCGGTATTTTAATAATCAAGAATATTTTCGACGAAAAATTGTGAGCTATATACGTGTTTAAATATATTAAAGCTTACCGATGCCAATATGAGCTTTCTGTATCATAGCCACATCGTTCGCACCATCCCCGATTGCAAGAGTCACGGCTTTCTTGTTACTCGTAATTAAATCAACTACCTAAATATAAAGAAAATAAAAACATAACGATAGATTATAATCGATAGATTAAACTTTACTGGACAAGTCTCCAAATTAGAAATTAATAGTAAATCTCACCTCAGCTTTTTGTATCGGCGACACTCTGCAACAAATAACTACTTTGCAAGCTGAACACAATTCCAGGAAGTCCATTCTAATATCACAAGACAAAGCGTAATCTAACGTACTGCCATCTATAATTAGAGCCACATCGTTTTGGCATTTTAAGTCTATCCCAAAATCAAGGCAGCGTTGGATGATAACTTCTCTCGTTTTCTATAAGATACATAAATTTACATTGAGCCAACCGTGAGACTTAAAATGTTGATGAGTTGTTTACTTACGTCTAAAGAAGATTCATTGATTATATAAAGAGGCATTCCATGTGTTATTAGCTTGCACGAATAACCGATATTTATGGCGGTCTCCTGTTTATCTCCTGTCAACACCCAGACTTTGATATCAGCTTGTAAAAGAGCTTGTATCGTTTCCGGTACCTGAAATTATGCAAATTGTAATATTATATATTATTACAAAATTATATAATTTTAACATGTTTATCTTTTTAACAAATTGATATAAGAAAGAGAAAGAGAGATTAAACATTATTTTTACTTGATCTTGCAATTGATCTTCGATCGCAGTTGCCCCTAATAATGTGAGTTTAGTTTCAATAAGATCCGCAGCTTGTTCCAGCATATTTTCACGATTTATCATACTAATCGATGCTTTATGATATAATTCGCACCACCGCTAAACCAAGAAAAATGATTACAAATGATAAATATTGATACTTATAGACTGGCTATTTTTCAAAATAAAGGAGAGTTTCTATCTATCTTTTCTAATCTAACCTGATAAACGTTTTCAGGTATTTCCGCAGCAGCAAAACAGAGCGTTCGCAATCCTTCGCTAGCGAACATTTCCAAATGCTCTAAAGTCACCTCACGAAAATCATCTACATGTTCTTGGTCAAGATCGCTAGTTTCTAAAGGAATTGGTGTTAATCTCTCATAGATTACAGAATCAGCACCTTTACAAAGAATTTTAATTTTCCCCTCGGGAGTTCTCATAACTATCGACATTCGCTTTCTAGCTGAAGTGAATTCTATTACATTTAGTATTTCGTATCGTAATACTTCGCCTAGAGCTATGATTTCCACGTAACTGGGCGTTCGTGTATCGAACACGTAATTAAATTTACGTGCTCCGTCTACTAACGCCCTTTCATCTAAAAAAAAAGAATATAAAGTAAGCTAAATATATATACATTATACTCGAATATTTAGATAAATGAGATTTACCTGGAGATGCAGCATGATAAATGATAGAATTATCTATTTTTTCGGGAATAACTGTATGACAAACTGATAGCATGATCATGAATTCGTGAAGTACAGCCGCATGCTCTGCTTTCTTTTTGTCTATAGAATTCGAAGAGTCCTGCATGGATCTTCCTTCGACAATATCTTTAATTAACTCACAACTGTGTGTGTTATCGCTTGTGCTTTCATGATCGTTTGAAGGAATTGGCAAACTATAAAATATTTATTTTCTCGAAGAATACACGTATTTAAATTATCAAATGCTACAGCAAAAAGACTATATGTAGTTGGATAAACTTACTCGTACAGTTTTCCACCGACCGAACATCGTTTGAATTCCATAACGTTTTTCGTAAGAGTACCAGTTTTATCCGTGAATACGTAAGTCACCATTCCAAGTTCTTCGTTTAAATTACTCGTACGAGCCATTGCTGGAGTATTCGTCTCCGCATGATACATTTCTATGTCCATGTTAATAAATGTGGCTTGAACGAATCTCACCACTTCGAGCGTTACTTGTAGCGATATTGGTATTAAATTATTGAAGAGAATAATAAATGTTAAAAGATTAAACGCAAAGTTCTTAGTCATTTCCTCTGCAATGAGAAGATAGATAAAAATTTCGAGTATCTCCGCGAAAACATGTGCGATGAGTGCATGTGTATATTTACCTTGTAAGCCTAAATACCAGAGGCCGTCTTTGTTGGCGTTCGTCCATATGACGTTGAATATCGCAGAAAGAATGCACAACAGAAGAAGTATGAAAAATAGCATCAGTATCTGCGTGTTGATCAACCGATCGAGGGTGGAGCGTTTCAATGGCGCTGTCGTGGTATTATTCTGCATAAGTTTTGTATCGTGCCCCGTGTATATGACTATGCCGAATACCCATCGTGTGTTCCGCAACATCGCGCCACGGAGTAATAATTGATCAGGCCCTAAAGCTACGCTCCTGTGAAAGAACAATACTTCTTGTGACGTAACGACACATTGACGCACAACGAGACAAGTTGAAAGATGAATAACAAACTCTGTGTGTGATATGAGGAATAAAGCAAGCCTAGATATGAACGTAACTTTCATTAATATCGGAAACAAGTAACGAGATAAACTGACGCAAGGAAAACGTGCAGCAAACAAAGCGTATTATGATGTATTTAACACATGTCTGTATATGACGTATATATTCTTACTGCTTATTAGTCTCTCGTAAAACTCCGTGGAACTCGTACAAATGCCTGTTGGGCGGCTCGCATTGAACGTTGGCGCGAAAATTCATCAATTCCGCGGTATCCAAAAGATTGGCAGTGTCAGGATGGGCTTGTCGTATCTTCAGATTCGTCTCGCCGTCCAAATTGGCGGTCTCTATAAAGGACATACTCTGTGGCTCCGATGACGACAGCAAAACCAGGTCAGCGGGGAAGAAAGTGTTGTTATGAACCTATGCATATTAAAGAAAGCGATTCTAGCTCGAAGGACATCGATTGATTATTAGCAAATCAATAATTCTGACGAAAATGAAAAGCAACCTTAACCACATCGCCGACGGCCACGGCGCGCCATTGTATCCACTGCCAGCGCCCATCTCTCAGCACCTCCACCTCTCTCATATTTATTTCATCGTCCGCTCTGTGCCTCTTCTAAAAATTACCGGATTTTTTTATTTATTGTTAGAATAGCAATACAAAGAAAACGTAATTAATGTTTTAAATACGCACAACATCTTCAACTATCTCCTTTAAAGCGGATACGCTGAGGATGAAGATCAGTGGAACTAACGTTGTCCAGCGTCCTGTCGGAGACACATCTGGTATTTGCTAAATTTAAATTGGGAAGCATGTTAAAAATTTGTAAAATTCGAATATTGCCTCAAGATTTAACGAGAACACATAAGAATTATTTTTTTATCTTAAATCTAGTTGTAAAAGAGTATTTATGAAAAATTTGTGCTAAGAAATTTCGATAGTTTTTGTTCTCTACGCTCATTACAATTGTAATATTTGTTGTAACTTGGGTTATATCTATAAACTACCTGCATAAGTGCGATGAACAGGAAGAAACAGTTGCTGTAACGACGGAATTGCTCAAACAGGAATAAAGGTATGAACGAGAGAAATGAATACTTCGCAGTCGTAATGTGATTATTTTTGTATTTTGCAGGCTGATGAGGTGCGTTGACAAAAATAACTCTTTCTTCACCGTCAATGTATTGCGTAGGTGGCTGGTCGTCATCCTGCGAGCCACCATTTTCCGTTCTTACCGGACCAACTATGACATATACAAACAATAATGCTTGTTAATTTTATGCGTATTTTTTGACGTAATGCATAGATATAAAAAAAGAGAAAAAATCTATAAAATCTATAAATAAAATATATATAAAATTTATAAATCTCTGGAGTGGATTTGATTTATTTTCAATTATTTATTTTCAATTTTCTTTTTAAAATCAAAATTATAATTAAAACAGCTAATTTTATATTATATTATATTTGAATAAAAGTCGATGATATTTTTTCTATAAAGGTTTTCCCACAAGTTTCAGATTAGTTTCTTTCTGTTCCCCAGTTACAGAAATACACACTCAATAGTACAAAGGTCAGTGTAAAAAAAAGAGACACGCTATTTTATCAAAGATTCTGATCATAAGAATGTATTATATCCAAGAAAATGACACTTGTGTATCATATATGCACGGATATTTTTTTATCTTATAGCCTCTGGTTGTATAATGTTCCGCCCACGATTGGTGAACTGACAGTTATATTGCGATCTGAACAATACGCAAGAAACGATCGCTATAAAAGTATTATACGCGACACGCTAAACTTATTGTTAGAAGAAGTAAATAATACAGGACATGGATATATCCTCGATAATGCGCATTAAACGCTATTTATTTTTTTTTAACAATCTATACTTATCATTTATATCGTGCGTATAAAATAATATTAATCTTATGTTAGATAAAATATCGTTATCATTTTCCTCTTTATTCCTTTGCTTCTCAGAAAATTAAGAATTAAATAGAAATCATATATTTACTACCTATATATTTTACTACCTTTACTACCTATAGATTTTGATAAAACTCAAAATATAATAACTTTTACGTATTTCATTAATATAATATTGCTGTGTAAATAATTGAGAAAAATAAATAATATTAAAACCTAATTAATAATATATGAAAAATGTAGTGTATATTTTTCTATTATTTATATAATAACATATTTATATAATAATTTTCTATTACTTATATAATAACGTCATAATCTTCAGCGTGAAAATTTATAGCTACAATCCTAGAAAAAATGTAGTGTATATTTTTCTATCATTTATATAATAATTTTCTATTACTTATATAACGTCATAATCTTCATCGTGAAAATTTGTAGCTACAATCCTAGAAAGAAAGATAGGAGATAATGCTTATCAACAAAAAAATAGAGTGCGCTTATAATAAATCATTATTCAATTTTTATTGAATAGTTCAATCATGTTGTATGTAGACAAAGTTGTGTGTAGACAAAGATTAGATTTCGTATAAGAAGTTCTTTTAAAATTAATCACTTCAGATTAGAATCGATACGTACACACAATGCCTGTATTATATATGCAGATACTATGCACTTACTATGCTTGTATATTTATAGATATATTTCTCAGAATTGATACAAGAAATAAAAAAATTATAAATTCTTATTTAATCTCAACATTATTATTAATTTTATTAAGTTTGTATTATAAGATACTGCTAGAAGATATTTATAAAACGAGAGTTTCAATAGTTTAATGAAAATTGTCTATGCTTTTTAAAAAAGCATAGACAATGGTAAAGATACAAAAGTATTCTTTTTTTATAAAAAAAATCCGTAATTCTGCTTTCTACAAGAATTATTCTGCTTATTATTAATTTTCTAAGTGATAACTTTTACATTCTTAATATCTACAGCAGAATATTTCTTGTAGAAAGTAGAATTACGCATTTTTTTTATTAGTTTTTATTTAATTAGTTTTTATTTTATTTAATTAGTTTTTTTGTCAAGTGAAGATAAATGCGAATCAGATCTATATTAATAAAAATTTTTTATTCTGTAACTAGTACATTTTTTCTATTAATTAAAAATTAATATAAAATTTAGTAACATTTGCATTTCTAAAGTTTTCGTTTTAAAAATGTCATATATCAATTTGAGTTAAAAAAACTAATATTATATTGACCTCATTTTTTAAACCATAATTAATTAAAGCAAAAATATCTTTTGCATTAAATTGTATAAATATATTTTAGAATTAGTTATTTTTACAGTTTTTGCCAATTTTATTAATATAAAAATTTTCAATATTTATTATCCAAGCAATTTTTACTCCGACTTACGGGTCTGGGCATGCAGATAAAGATGCACTCGGGATCTGAGCTCGTTGAACCACTGTACCAACTTCGTGGCCGCGACTTCCATGATCACTCGTCGTAAAATCCGTCACACTTATGTATATCTCACATGTCATCGAGACGGGTTGTACGTCCGTCCTGATTCATATTTAATCTCTGCGAATACGAGAGCGTCTTACACGTGCACGCGAATCGGAGCTACGGCCGGATCGGAGCATTCGATACAACGGGCAGGAAGCTCGTTCGCGTCAGTCTAATATAGTAGCAGGTTAGATCGCCTCAATGTACATATATATATATATACACAAGCCTTAATAATAAATAATTTCCCTTAATTGCATCGATCATCGAGACACGCGTCACGTCGCGTCACGACGCTGACGTCAAAGCCGGTCGCGAGGCGAGGTGCGTCGTTATTTGCCACCACGTCCATTTCATGGATACAATTCGACACGACTTCCGGCCGCCTCTCGTCGCACTTTTGAGGTTATGCACGAGCGCGATGAAGCCGACGACGTTTGCGACTGACGGGAGACGAATAAACAGCTGATCTCTTACTGCGACTCAATTACACACTCGTACACTCGCGAGACGAATGCCGAATGACAAGTGTCGTGCCCGCGAGTGTTTACGTGCGATAAAAAAGACTCGACGTGACGCAACGTCGTGCGACGATAACGTTGACATCACGTGCTCGCAGCGCTGTGTACGTTATACAGGGTGATCCGTATACGGTGATTCCGACATACACTGTCTTTCCGGAAACTCGATCATCTAGCATTTCAACTATATATTTCGAAATATATGGCATGTTAAATTATTTCTGTCAAAAAAATCATCTTAAAATTAATTGAAAGAAAAGTTAAAAAATATATTATCGATGTTGAAAAATAATGCATTAGATGTAAGACACCATGTATAATGCGGTATAACATTTGGGAATATCTTAAATGACTTACGGATAAATTCTGTGTAGTTAATTAATTAACAACCGACAAATAATGACAAAAGGGAAATGTAAATAAAAGTGAATAATGGAGCGCGAGTCGAGATGTTTAATTATGCCGGTTATATATTGATTTTCCAAACCTACACAGCGACGACGTAACGACGCACTACGCCATATGTTTTTATTCGGGAGATAACATAATTGCGTAATATATGGTTGCGCGATAGTGGGGTGTCGCATAATCCAGGCATTATTATATCCCATCTCCCTACGACAGGCTCGCACGCGAAGCGTTTGCGCTCGTTTATTTGACGATCATCTCGTTAAAACGTCGATTAGCATTTCCGTCGTATGAACATTTTGCTTTTTTTTATGCACTTAAGACATAAAATATTCATTCGTCAATGTATTAGAACTAATATGAATGTTAGAGCGATTATTATTTATGCACGCGATTAGCAAACAATAGAGGAAGAGAAATTAAATGATTTGCATTTATATTTGCGTTTATGTAAAAGGAAAATAGAATTGCGTGACACACAGTCTTCAGTTTTCAGTCTTCAGTTTTCTATTTTAGGAAATTTACAATTTTGTTTACGTCGAGTTTTTTTCGATAATATTTTTTCCTCATAGATTAGATGTTATAGTAGTAGCTATAAATATGTACATACATGAATCTCGCGTAAGGCTGAGGAAAAATTGTGTTATACGAGCAGCAGAAGCCGAATTATTTATAAAACGAGCATCTCTTTCGTATTCAATCTTCATTTTAACGGTACCAAATTTATCCTACAAATTACTTTATATTTTTTTTCACGTACGATCTAATATTCACAAAAATCAACTTCGCAATAATTCAATTAAATTCCGATCGTCAGTAACTCGTTCGAATGGGAATTTCGGACGCGATATTTATTTCCTATCCCAAAACAAACCTGGTATCTGTCAGTGCACTTAGAGAATTCTTTCCCTTTTTATCTTATCTTTCCTGTTTTCTTCCCCTTCACTTTCAAAAAATATCCAAACGTAAAACACTAGTCTCGAAAAAATCGCGCGAGCGAAACTAAAATCCTGGACAAACGAATCGGCACGTCTCGTCTCTGGCGATCGATCGAACGAGCCCTCTTTCAAGGCGAGAAGCCAGGTCTGTAGCACATCCGCCTGGCAATCGATCTCTCACCTTTTCCCGTGCGAAAGAGGAGTCGTTCCTTTTACACACGCACTCGCACGTTACTTCCGCAATTTTCTGAACGATACGGAACGGAACGGATACCGCACGCGGTACGATCGCGCTCTCCCAAGTCGGGATAATGATCCGTCCGAGAGGGTCTAGCACGTCATCGCACGTCGGAAGGAGCCTCCTCTCTCTTGCCACACCCCTGCCGACGACGATGACGCGTCAGGCTACATGCCACGTGCGTCGTTAACGCGCACACGCGCCGCGACATCGATCGCGTTACCGGGAAATCCGCACGCGGGACGCATCGCTGTTAAATGCGGCGTGTCCAATGCGGCGCCCTAGGTGATGCTCTCCTTTTCTCTTATTTTTCTAGCGACAATTTCACCCCTTGTGGTGATTGGCACATCGAGATCGACCGTGGCTTTTTTTCGCGCCGCGACGCAAGCCCTTGCCCGGAGGCACCGAAATTGTGATAAATAATGGAATATAGCCTAACTCCTTAATCGTGTAAAGTAGGATAATTTCCAAGAAAATATCCAAAAATTTCGGGGACGAAATCATCTCTCTTCTGTCTCGCGATTCATTTATCTCCTTTCGCGACTTTACTTTTTTAATTATTTTTCAGCAAAATTTGGCGCCTGCAGCCGATGCGGCACTGTCCGAGGGGTGGCCAGAGAAAATGCGTCAGTGAAATGTTCACGTGTTATGTCGCAAAACGCATGCGCCCATCGATGGCAACAAGTTGGTGTCAGCACCGACCGTGCTCAGGAACCGGGACTGCGATCCGGAGCCAAAGGATGGGAGAGCGTGCGACGGCATGATGACTATATAAGTTATCGATAGGCCAAGGACATGCCGGCGACGCGCCACAACGGGGTGGTTCTCTACACTACACTAAACAGCTCGTTTGGCGCCGTTCAGCAAACATTTTACGAGATAGAGTTTACTTGAGAAATATGACTTTTAATATCGAAACGTTAAGGCATGTGCACACATAATTTAACATCAAAGTTTCTTTTTTGACGAAAATATCGAAGAGCTTTAATAACTTTTCGATTAAAACGCATGAAATTGAAAACTTGAATAACTTGAATAATATCCCTATTATTACTTGTCCGCCTTGTGTGGACTTTGCGATAAAAAGTTTCATAGATTATCTAATAGAGTATAATTATAAGTCCCTCCTTTGGAATTATGTATGCTGAATAATGTCTCTAATGACTTAATGGCTTTAATGAATTAATTTGCTCGACTTACTCTCGGAAGTCGACTCCGGCGAGCCGGTCTCCTGGAGCTCGATGTGCTCCCGCGCTCTCCGTCTGCTGCTATTACGCGTGATCGGATCCAGACGGAGGCCGATGTTGTCGACATTGTCGATGTCCCCAAGATCGATGGGGCTGCCGATGATGAAGGGCCCGGTGGATTCTTGTTGCGCGCCATCGTTCGATCGATTGCTCGCGGGCGACACATTGTTACGAACATCATTGTCGTTGCCATTGTTGCTGATATTGTTGTTGTGCGAGGGTGTATCGTCCATATGAGGTATGGAAGAGAGGTCCGGCGGTGTGAAGGGTCGCAACGGGCCAGGGCTGGGAACCCGGGGGTTCCCTCTGGCAATCGGTTGCATTGACTGTGCCGGCGCCTGAAACAAGCCGGCGACATCGATCGATCTTTATACGTGATCTAACGTATACGCATCGAATGCGTAATAATGATGAGAAAACAATACGTGTGAAAGAGATAAATTAACTCGTCTATGCAAATTTTTTTCAGCTCTCAATTGATTACTCATCCGCATCTATTTTAATCGCCCTTTCTTCTTTTTCTCTCATGTTCTCGGAATCTATCCATGTAGGAACCTGTTACAATGAAATCGCAGACCTGTCCTTAATTAAGCATGCAACGACGACATTCCTTCAGTGGTACATAGATTTTACACATAGTGTAAACACATTGCCCGTATATATGTGATAGAACATATCTAGAATATATCCGATGACCCTGAAAGGAATCGTACTAACTCTCAGTCTCACGTGGCACATACGTCACGGTTCATTCACCCGCTATTGTTTCGCCGTATACATCATGCATGATGTAATAGTTCCATTTCTAGAAATATTCCGCCTCGACAAGGTAAAACTGATTGAGCCGCGGTGACCTGATTTATTCGTTTCCCTGAAGTGACCGGAATTGGCAAGCTTTCGAAACGAAGTTGAGTTATACAGAGGCGAACAAAGTGTCCTATAGAAATCAAAATTATATGCACGTTTTAGAAGTTAAAAACGATAGGAATATTAACTTTCTTTTTGTTTGTCGCGATATTTTTGTGTTATATATTTTTGATTAAATTTCTTTATAACACTTGCTTTTGTGTTATAACATCCGACAGAAAAAAAAATTTCCAAGACTTTTTCATAGATAATCTCATAATTAATTATAAATTAACAATTAAATTTCAATTAACATCATTTAATTCGCCATTTCTTTCTAGACTTAACAATAAGCAAAAATATGTTGCGTGCTATTAGGTTGTTCTAGAATTATGTATGCATTTGATACAAATAGTGCCGATGATTCTTAGTAATGATAATGATAATGAATTAAACGATAACTCAACGATAACTGCAGATAGCTTAGAATGTAACTTATAACTTTTATATGTGTGTGTGTATTATTCACATACACATGTTTGACTTATACGAATGTATAAGCAAAATTATTTCAGCGAAATGGATGGAGTATGATAACAAATATAACAAAGTATCGAGAATATTTAATTGGATAACCTTGTATGTTCCGTTTAACGAATGTTTTAAAAGAATTATGTCTAATAAAAGTAACGTGTCTCCTTCGGGAACGCAAGTTAGTTTTTCGACGAGGTACGAGATCGATCGCGAGCATTTCCACGGTTGCATTTTTCCACAATAACGATAAGGAATCTTCGAAATAGTAATGTCAGAGTGGTATTACGTAAAGCTCAACAAGCATATTGCACACGATTACGTGCATTGAAGTTAAAATGCGACATTGAAGGATTTCACCGATCTTTTTATTATTTTATATTTATATAATCGCGATGGCAGTAAAATGCATATCGATAGTAGATAAACATAAATAATAAAATGAAAATTTAAAACATTACATACAACGAAAAAAATATATTTTGCGAAGATATTCTTTTTTTATTTTTACCGCATGTTTTGCAAAATCGTAATAATTCGTTCCGCAAATGTGCACAAGAATGTCAAGTCGGACTTTAGTCAGTTTTTTCGTATAGCATAAGCAAATATAAGAAGTGCCAATGAAACGCTCAGGTAAATTTTCTATGAGTGTTTTTTTATGAGAGTTTTTTTTGATGAGTTTAGAATTTATTGGACAGGAGATATTTTCATAACAAGCGAAGTTTGCACACGTCAGCGACAAATCTATCACAAACTTACCTCGCAAATGGTATCCTCGGTTACGTAAATTCGCAGCATGTATTTATACATGCTATTATCGGCTGAATATTTTTAGCCGACTTAGACAGTATAAGATAAACAATTATTTATTATCAACTGTCAGATGTAATAAATCTATTATTCGAGAAAAAGAAATTCGACGAAATCATTAATATATTTTATATATCTATCATAAAAGATTACTCACTACTATTAAACGCGTCGTCCGAGGCTGATTTTTGGACCTCGTTTTGAAATCTCTCAAGATTAGTTGCTCATCAAACTTATTGTCTCGCTTTATCGTTGATTCGCGACTGACAATAATTCATCATTTGGGAGGCTTGCCAGAGAGATCAAATAAACTAAGTAAATTACACGATGATTGTCAGGAATTGTTTCATTAGATACTTTGTACACTTTAATGTAACACGCACATGCGCACATAACAAAGTACATGCGAATGGTTGGGACTAATTGCCATTCACTAATTGTTCCGATATCATATGGAAGTGATAAAAAAAGACGAAAAATTTCCGATGACACTCAACAAGTATAACTTTAACTTCCTTTTTGCAGAAAATCGTGGCTATGATGGAAGACTTTTGTGCGACATGTTGATTAATGAAGACGATTGCCATTCAATAAGAAAATGATTAAACAAATGATTGAAAATTTCACTTTCATCGAAAAATTACTGAATTTTTTCGGTAAAAATAGAAAAATGTAAAGTCACCCTTGATTAAAAATTTTAAAAAATTAATTATTGCTTAAGGCACTTTTTTATAACTTGATAACAGTGCGTTTTATGTTCCTTTATAATCATTTTTAATTTTATTTTATAAAAATATAATAATTTAGGATGCTGACTGTGTTCCACTTAATGTATTTCACTTGCATTAAAAATGATTGTCGCTATGATTTATTAAGTCCACTTAGGTCTATTAAAACCTATTAAGACCACAATAACTGCAGCACACTGCAATAAATGTTGTATAAAAAGAAGTTTTTTGAGATGAAGAATCGTCAAACGATTAAGACATCGTTCTTATCACGACTAGAAAAAGGCACTTATCACTGGAAGAATAATGAACAACCATCGGCACGTACTGGTCGACACTGCGAGTAAAACTGCATTCGCGCGCGCGAACCGCATCGATTCGATTCTTTCCGTGAATTTCTGCCAATCGTGGGCGTCGGAAAAAAATCGCCGTCATTTATATTAACAACGAATGTTGTGGATGTTCCAGTTTTCTAATCATCGTGTAGAGAATACAGGGATTATGACGGCGGCATTGGATGCGCGGGAGCGGCTTTTTCACGGGAGGACCGTCCAGAAGTCACTGTTAGAATTCCAACGTGATAGCAGCAAGGTACGGCCAATAGGAGCGAGCGAATCGATCGATAGTACAAGACACGAAGTTTCGATAAGATCGAGATTTCTATGGCGCTACCTGACTGTCCGTTTGTATACATTGTGTGCACCGAGACCCTGCACTGTCACAAATTCCTGCGGCTATCTTTGATAGATAGATCTTAGATTGGGATATCAATGATCATATCTCTTTGTAATCAACATGAAAAAAAAAAAGAATGTTTGCAACTTGCAGTTTAAAAAAAAATGGAACCAATTAGCTTTAAAACTGACATTTTTTTCCTACATAAGAGAAACCATTAGACATTTTATATTTCATAAGAGACACTAAATTAAGCGACAATATTTTTATTTTTAATTATTGCGTTACGAAAAATTATTCGTGTAGATATTTTAAAAATGTACGTCAATTTCTTTATTTGAAAGGAAATGGCGGAATAAAACAAAGTAATGAAAAAACTTGTACAAAAGATAATAACAAATTCATTAAAGAAATCTGAATCAGACTTAGGAGTTCTTAATTATTTCTATTGGCGTGATTGAATGCCATTCCATATGACGC